AGGTGAGTCGCAAAACGTCACAGTGCGAGTCACAGACTGAGTTAAATTAAAGAGATACAGCTTGACTGACTACAAGCGATGAGCTAAATGTGATCAAGTATGAGATGAGACTAGAATGAGCTGGTGGAGCAGAGAGAGAGAGAGAGAGGCTAAAACGTATGTTATGTGTCAATAGCATCCTAAAGCAGCCTCAGCCTCTGGAGCGCTGCACCTTTTGCACCCTGGAGGGCATGTTCAAAAACACAGTCTCTCACACTGAATCTTTTATAAGCTTCATTTAGTCAATTATTACATTTCCCTTGATACTCAGCACTTCTATATTCACTTCACATGCATTAAGTGGTCTAATGTTTAAGGCATGTAACTGTTTGGAGGATCTCAAAGGCCAAAATTCCCCCTTGGAAAAAATAAAGCATTTGTCTATCTATCATTCCATCTATCTATTCATCCATCCAACCCTCAAAATGCCTCAAGAAAAGAAATGAATCCAAACCCCATCATCCACGTGTCACATATTCCAGTTCGTAGTCAGCAGCTAACGGCTTATTTTCAGCAAACAGCATGGAAATAAGACAACTGTGGAGGCGCATTTCTCCTCCTTTGGAAGAGGCTGACGCTGCTGTTACTCTTCATCTGAACAGCTTGTTGAGTGGTTGAACACCTTCAGAAACCCCCCTCCTTCCACTCTTCACCGCTGTCAGATCTGAGGCAGCTGTTTCCAACAATTTTTGTGTTTTCCAAAAAGGATTGTTGTGGATTTCCTGTCAAATAAATAAAACAGACACCAAGAATGAGAGTACATACTGGTTTGACTTGAAGATTGACATAAATATTATACTGATCAATAGGGAAAGCAGCTTAGCAACTTTGCACATAATCAATTTTATTCCAACTAATATTAATCCTTCATGTTGTCCTGAAGAAAAAAATTGTCTCCCACACACTCTCATACAACATGTAGGCCCCACATGTATTATAGTCAGGATCGGGTAAAACACAATAAACCAAGATCCCTTTTCATGTCTATGGTCTTTTTACCCTCTGAAACAGGAGGGTAAAAACAGGACACACTATGTATACTGTTTTATTGTTGTTTATTTTATTTTTATTATGGAACTCTAGTGGGTCCCCAATGCGTCAAGTGTATTCACACTAGAACTTAGCGCTGAGCAGGTGGCATCATTGCTATCGGTTCACTCAGGAAGGATGTTAATACGAGGTCTGAATAGGGTCAAGGAGTCATCACATAATACAGGTGTTTTTTGGACTTGAGTCAGCGCTGAGTTTTACAAAGATTCTGCTCTGTCATCTGAGCCTGTGAGAGGTCAGCGCCGTGTTTGAAGCCACTCCACTTTTGGTGGTTTAATCCTTATCGGAGCCCACTATAAGAGCTGCTCTATCTTTCAAAGTCCTGATACTATGAATTAAGTTGGAGAATAGTCCCCACCTCCACTGTGTCTCCCCTGCACCCCATTCCCTCTACCCTTCACACCTCCCCCTGCAGCCAGCTGCTCCCAGACTCCTCTGCTCCCTCTTCATCAGGGCCACGAGAAACACACAACAGAGTTGACTGATTGAAATTCACAGTGTGAGCAATTCCAATCTTTTGCATGCTGTTTCTTCCCCGCCTGGCTCTTGAGCTTGTTGTGGAAGAAGAGTGTGACTAGCAGATGTATCACTGTGCAGTGAAGCTGCAGAGGTCTTCTCGGGGGTCCTCAGTGGTGGGCGAGTCCTAATTGTTTGCTAACAGCGTGTCAGTGGTGGGTGGGTCTTCCACTGTCTCATAAATGATCCATCTGAGCTCATCAATGCCGAAAAAGATCAGGTCACATTTTTAGCCAGTGGGCTGTAAGTTTTATAGGATTCCTGTTGCTTCCCCCTACTTCAACTTGTCAAATAAGGATGATCATCCAACTTCTTATATAATAATGTTGTTGATGGAGCCAGTTACTGAAATTCTTCCAGGTCAGTGAGCAGAATTTGACATTATCTCACTTTCAGCAAGTTGCCAACTTAAGGAAATACAGTGGTGGTTGCTCCAGGGGACAGGGTCTAATAATCTGTTGCATTGTATCTTAGATTGCCACACAGTGAGGGAGGCCATGCACCAACACTTTGGTCGGTGTAGCAAATTGTTGGCTCCATTATATTTTGCACATTGTTGGCTCCATTATATTTTGCACATTGTTGGCTCCATTATATTAACCACAACAACTTTGCCGTTGATGTAGCATGAAGATTGACCTCAAAGACAGGTTTATTGAGTACTTTGATAACAGTGAATAAGAACCAGCAGTAGGCTATAAGGCCAGGACTTCAAACATAGTCCATATGAAGTTCAAGTTCATATGAAATCCAATTTACAAGTATTTCAGAGGAGATATGTAGGGAGATAAATAGATATAAAAGCATGCATACATGTGTCATATGTAGGAAAGGGAAGGAGAGGACCAAAATAACCATTGGTGCCCTTTAAATTTTTAAGGCTGAACAGTGACGTTGAAAAACTAGGTTGGCATTTTGAAACAGTATCCTGATTTCCTAATGGGAAAAAGTGCACCCAACTCATATTTTCAAAAGAGGCCAGCCCAGTGACACAGTTCTGGTGACAAAATGTCCACCGAAATAGTTTAATCTTAAGTTTGTAACATTAAGCATGTATTTATAGTTTGCAATTGTTGTGATATAAAATAAAAGTATCACTGTAAGATACCTCTCCAGTCTCAAGGTGAGTTTGGTTCCACCATCTCTTTAGCCACAAACCAATATCAATAACACACAAGGTTTACAATACCACTCGAGCCAGCGGGCACCCGTTAGTTAATGGTTTATCTGACAAGAACCTCACTCAATACAGTTGTCTCATTTTTAATATACTGAATGTAACCATATCTGTTTACAAAAACACCACAGGGTGCCTCTACTTTGTTAACCTGTGATCACAGGACGAACAAAGTTAAAATTCATGTCAGCTGCTCATTGGCTGCCCATAAAATATGGTGTTAGGCTCCGCCATACATAAATACATTTTGTTTGTGAAACAAAAACTCCATCCAAATGAGCGTTTTATCTCCATCAAAAAAAAAAAAAGCTAAGACACATATGACACGATCATTTACATACACTGTGCATGTGTGGGCCAGTGTAAACAAGGAGCAGATTGTCTGCTCTGTGGTTGGTTGCTTCAAACTAAGAACAGCATTTCTTTTCTTGGACATACAATGAGGTATCTGTAGCTTAAGACTTAAAGTGTTACTCACATCATAGTCATTTTGTCAGATTATTCCTTAGCCCTATGACGTTGTCGTGATGTCATCAGTGTTGTCTCAGCTTGAGTTTGAGACTACAAATTAACAGGGAGGCTAGAATGAAAAACGCTGTTGCGTTGCATCTTGGGAAATGTAACATCTTGTCTTTACCAGGTAGTAAAAGACAGGATATCTTAGCTTTAAAAGCTCTGATTTGCACTATTCTTTAAATACCTCCCAGGTCTGACAATTTATGATTAAATCAGCTGAGAAGCCCTTTAAGTTGTTTACAACAATCAATGGTGACATATTCATCAGTGATTGGTGAGCGGAATTCTGACACTGGCGAGAGCAACTGTTTAAATGTCATGTTGTAGATCGTCTGATCCATTAAAGCTGCTCCTAAAATGAAACTCCACGTTTCACATGGTCGATCACAGCTGCACATTGATGCTGAGGTTTATTTGTCATTCCTCCAGATGCCTAATGCAGGGTGCCAACCACACAGTCTGTTCTCTGCTGTGTCATTGGGTGGGTAACACGATAGAGCATTAGCTTGGCTTGGATTTCAAAATAATCCTTCACATGTCTGTTGCTGCTCTACAGCTAAACGATGACGCATCAGGCTGAGGTTTAGCTTCGTTAAGCTTTCTGTTGTGTGTCTACTTTATTTACTCATGCCATTATATTTATTATTTACTTATTATATATTTATATTATCATATTTATTATTTATCAGTATTGTGGCTGAGACAGATGTCTCTGAGCAGAATTCATTCCTAATCATGAAGTTTATGTACTGCAATGGCTGGTCAATAGTTCGACATTTACTATACTTAGCAACAAATAAGTTGGTCGTATAAGTAAAGTGGAACCTTTTACTTTATAGGATGCAGGCACAACTTATCTTGAATAAAGTTAATGTTCCTCAGTGGAGTTTGAGTGACCAACAAGCAGGTTGTGCAGTGGGTGAGCTAATGGCTAACAAGCCAAAACCTTCTTCAAAAGGAGACTTTGTGAAGGAGCTGTTGGAACCAGACAAAGTAAAATTCTTTTTAGTATTAGTTTGTATTGAAGCCAAATTAATCCATTATCAAGCTGTCTGAAGTCATTGTTAAGGGAGCATCAAACAAACTGTAAGAAGAACAAACTGCGCTCTGTTGTCTGTTTTGCATTTTTTCTGTCACACACACCACATCACATTTTGTGGCTCAGAGGTGTAGGTTTGTTCTGCAACTATTGATAACACCAGAACCATTCATAAATATAAATTGGTCTGGAAATGCCACACTAACTTTGGTCATGGGGGGAGAAACTTGATGCAGTCCAATTTATTTATTTATAGCCCTGGATGATCTGACCATTTTTACCCAATACAAAAATTAGGGAACAGAGTATACAAGTTGGCTACTTATACTCAATTATTTCCTGTTTTTAAAATTATTTTTATCTCATTTTTACAATTCCTTATGTTTAGAGATACAACAAGTGTAGCACAATGTGAGAATAGGTAAGTAAGGTTTTAATGTTTTTACTTTAAACAGGAATTTGAAACAATTTGAATGAAGAATTGTCCTCTCAGTAATTGTCTATATACGTTTTCCACACTTTTCATCCTGGTCAACAAAACTTTTCTGAAAACAACATGAACAGGTCAAAATAATAAATACATTTTATATATATATATATTTGGATGATTTGAATCCTCATTATTGAGTGAATGCTCTCTCTCTCTCTCTCTCTCTTTTCCAGACACTCCACGCAGCAGCAAACCAACAAAGTCATCACCACCACAAGCCAACTCATCAAACAACTTTCAGATATAATCAGTGGCTCTTCACGGGTATTATATGCTCCCATTCCTCCCCCATTCATTGTCATTTTGAAGAATAAACAGGGGATTGAACAACATTTGAGATAATTGAAGTTAATTCTGTTTTGTTGCACAGCAAGACCGACTGCGCCTGACACGACTAAAAACTGAACTCTCAGAGTCTGTGCAGAGCTATGGGGATCTGCAGAAGGTATGACGTCTCATTTGGTTTTGTATATTCATTACTATGGTTACTAAATTTTTATTTCTGAATGACAGATGGGGCTGGGAGAAAATTAAGCACACCTGAACACACAGAGGCAAAGAGAAAACAAATGTGGCCTCTTCAAAATGGAAAAATGGAATCCTTTTGACCCTGCCTTTTCATTTGTTCCTCTTTTAGAAAATTGCAGAACGCTCAAGGGCCTTGCTCCCTCCAACACAGAAAGACAAGAAGAAGGTGAGCTGATATGAAGGTGGAATCCACGCTTTGTTTCACTGTCATTCATAAAAGAGCAGTATGATGAGATGGCATCTCTCAGCGCGATTGCATCCTTACAAGGGCTCCTTTGAAGCTATGTGTAGTCACCTTCTCTCTGTTATATTACACAGACTCCATTCATCACTTCCAAGCCCTTTGTACTGCTGATATTTCATTTCATTTTTATCAGAGTCTACGATTGTATTTTCACTGTGTAGTGCTGGGTGATATGGAAATTCTTTTTATCACAATAAATGTTTTCATATCAGTCGATATCGATATATATATCACGATATAAATAAAACAATGACAATAACTTTGCACATGTGTTTATGTACAAAGTTGTTATGTACAAACTTTCTTTCTTATGCACAAACAGATTTTTACTTGCTCATACAATCATCCCCACTGCACTAAACATTTCATACAAACCACTACAGTTTATATTTAAAGTGTATGTGAGCGCAGGTTAGTGAGGGTCGGAGGAGGATGCAGACTCCGACAGAGACTCTGACACAGGACGACCGGACCTTTAATGTGCGTCTATCCTGAATCCGCAGTGGTTATAATTATTCAGTGTGGAAAACCACTAAAACAGTGAACGTGGCGGAAAACATGATTATGTTCAGTCGCTGCATTGATGCAGAGTTTTCCACCTCTCTTCATGAGCTGAAACATTAGCATGTGTGCTGCCGCTACTCCTACGCTCTGTGCTGTGTGCGTCAACCGAACCTGATGTGGGTGTAAGTCTATTCCAGCCACACGACAAAGTTATATCCCAAAAATTATTGCTATTGTTTAATCACTGAGCCCCACAGTTCAGTGTGGGAACTTGCATGCATTTCACAAATCAAAGTTAATCATTATTAGGGACTGAATGAGAATGAATGAACTTTGCATTTTTTTATATAGTAAAACTAGATCATAAAAACAAAACATTTGATCTGTTTGTAAATCAGTAGAAGTAATAACATATAACTTTGCTTGTGTTCTTTTGTCATGCATGTCCCAATAGTTTTGTCCTGTTCGGCTGTGTTCATGAGTCCATTTACATCTACATAGTCCTTGCATGTGTGTAGGCACTAACAGTAATTATAGTACATGTGTAAATACAATTAAGGAGCATTCAAGACTAATTTGAATCTATTGAAATCACAATCTTAGCCATGGTTCTCCCTGTCACATTTAAACCTTCTATAGTGTTCAAATCCAACCCATGTTTGATTAAATTAACCAGCACCAGTATGTAATTTGTGTGTGTAATACGTGTATATAATATACTTTAATATTTTATCTGCCATTGAGACAGTGGCATTTGTTTTACTCTTCGGTTTTTCGGAACTACAGCATCAGTCCCTCTTGGTCCGTCTGTATTAAAAATAGACCGCTTATAAAGGTGGACAACTTGAACTGGTGGCTGGCTGCAGTATATGTCATCAAAAAAACCTGTACTCCATATTTCTCCATTTCCAGTCTTAGTGCAGAGCTATGCCTCCTGCTTCTTGCCCCATGTACAGAAATAGAAGAGTGGTGTAGAGTGGTGTCTCGGGAAAGTGAGCTAATATGCACGTTTGCCAAAATGTTGAACATTCCTTTTGTGCTATTAATAGATGGTTATGAATGAAGTATTGTTAGTTGTATCACGAAGACAAAAAAAAGGTCAGAGTTCAACAATGAAACAGAAAAGTATCTTTGTGTCGAACTCAACAGAAGCTTACTTAAGCAGGGCAGAGGTCTGGACCCCTTTTGCTCCTGCACCGAAAATAAGTCCTTTACGGCTTAATCTGGTTGAACAGTGGCAATTCTGTGAAGACCATTTTACACACAATAGCCACTAAAAATCCATCTTTTTTTTACACAGGAGGGAGTCATATGCATTAAGGTTTTATGTCCCACCGAAGGCATATTATCAAGGTCTTTCATTCTCCTAGAGGTAGAGTGGCTGGCGAGACATAAGGACCATTATATGACTATCTTCAATGCATAGAAAAGTCTATTAATCAGGGAGCAGACTGTAGAAGAACTAATTGGTGAGTGTAGGCAGTAGCAGTTTGAATAGTCTGTATTTTCTATAAACGATGAAGGATTTTTCACAGGCAGTGGAATGTCATTACACATGTGTTTAAACATGCAGTTTGCAGATCATCATGGATGCTATTGACAGTTTCCCACCCACATCTTTAAATTCATCAGAGTACACCTTAAAGTTACAACAGGAAACTCTGGAAAGAGTGCGTGAGCCAGAGAACTAGTGTGTCAGAACGATAGTCTTGAGAGCTGTTCCCAATTGTGTGATGTACTGATATATTCTGGAGCGCTCGCAGTGGGCATGCATGTGGAGGAGTTTGCTGAGGAGTGGTGAGTCAGACCCTGGCCGGTAGACAGAGCGCTGTGACGCAGCCTGGGCAGGTCTCTGTGCTCTGACCCCCACTGGCCCATCTACCATGAATTAGCTGTGCACTCAGCCACACAAGGTTTATCTTCACAGGTGGAATACATTAGCAGTGAATACAAAGTCAACCAGTACTCTTTCTAACTATATCATGCATATCATTACATGTGCAGACTGCAGTGGTTTTAATGATTTTATTTAATGTGAAATATCTGTAACTGATGGAGAATTGAACATTCTTTGAGTCCTAAAATAAACATGGTTTGGTATGATCACCTGCTACAACAGCATGGGTGGTATAGTTCTTTGTGTGTGAGTCACAATGGCAAGATGTGGTCCTGGAGATGCCTTGCGCACTGACCTGTTCACCTTACCATCCAATTCATAGCCTCCAGAGTGTAATTGTACATGCATGACATGATAATTATTGCTGTGTATACTCAGCCATTGTGTGTGTGTGTGTCCCAATAGGATGTACAGACCCCATCCAGTGAGCAGATGGCAGAGGGTCCAGTGTTTGGAGAAGCAGTGGGCTCAGAGGGAGGCGCTCTGGCTTTTTTGTCGGAGATAAGTGAGGAGGATGTGGAGGTGCTTCATCAAAGAGAGGAGGCTGTGCTTCAGATTGAGGTAAGGACACGAGCATCAGCTCAAACAGTGAATATTACCTGTGTAATCATGCAGCTCTGTACCTCTAGCTATCCGTAGAATATCTGAACATTACCTGTGCCTGATTCAATGCTGGTAAACTAAAGCAGAGGTAGAGGTTATAGTCAGGTTGAGGTAGAATCTTCTTCATTTTGGCCTATTTTGGCACATTCTGGTAGAATCTTTACCATTTGAAATTCCTTGAGGCAAAACTAATTTAATTTCACTCTTCTGTTACTTTTGTTCTTTCTACATATCATTATTTTGTTATGCTATATAATCTTGTTCACATTACATTTTCCCACTCAAAGAAAAAACAAGTTTGACTCCAGCTGTAGCCGATACTGGTAATGAACCATTCAATAATAGAACAATAAATCACAATGTGATGTAACAAAAATAAATAAATAAATCCAAACTGTAAAAAAAGGGCAAAAACAATACAACGATGTACACTTATATAGATAGCACTGCACTTCACTTAGCATTGTTAGCCTGCAGAAAGCAGCCTGCTTTGGCCACCTGACACTTCCTCTTGCAATATCTCCTAAAACAGAGTGGCATCGCCCAGTAGTAAACTAGGAGTGGTGGTAGTGCTGCTGAGCTTTCAACAAACCACCATTTTTGCAGCAAGCTCCTCTCTGAATGTTTCTTTATATTTTCTTGCTGGGGTCATTTCTTACCCTGAACTGCTCCTTGTGGAGAAGGAAACTATTCACCATGGTGATGTCCACAGAATAGAAAACATTTAAAATTCTGTTTTGCGGTTACCCAATCAAAGTGTCGGACAGATGCAAACCACCCATGCTTTGATTGTACTTTCACCATCTATCCACTGATGACCTAATGCATTGTAGAGCACATAGTCACTTTGCGGGCGTCCATCCATTTTGTGAACAGGAGTCTGTCTTTTATTATCCACATCATGTCTCCCCGTCTCAGCCTTTTTGCATATGTCATTGTTCTGTGTCTGTGGAGAACCAGCACACTTTTCCTTGATAGTCCCACAACAGCTGATGTCTTTTGGCCAAATCCTTGTGAAAAGGTTGTCCAGGAAAATGGTGTTGGCGGCTGTGGCTAAGAGCTGGGCACAGGTCTTAATGGTTTTGCTGAATGGAAGGGTAGATGTTGATGGCTGAATGGATGGGGCTTATAATCATCATCATCACTGTGGAAAGAACATTCAGTGACTCCCCTTAAATACGTTAGGGTAAACAAGCACTGGGATTTAACTACCAACCCAGTTTGAGTGGGAGCACCTACTGAATTAATAACAGGATGATAATGTAAATAAATAGTAATTTTACACCAAGTTGGTAGTAAATAAAAGAAAAACGGATATTGCTGACCTTTCCAGGAATGGAATTAAATTATTTGAATCATCACGGATGTCCTGGGCATGCACTGGAGGCAAGAGGTCCTCCTCATCTATAAAAGAGTCAACAGGGTAAACATTAGTCCCACTGTCTCCAGTCAGCAGTTCAAGTACCTCCTCTGCTGCTAACCCTACTCTGAGCACCCACACATGTTGTACTCGATGTACATTATCATAATCAAGGATGCAGGACAAAAGGCCATGGTGCACTGAAATATTAGCAACAATATATCATCTTTTTTAGCAACATTTTGCTGGGAAAAAATGGAACATGGGGTTTGTTAAGTGTTAACTTACAAGCTTGTTTGTTGCTTTTTTCAGTTAGTTTTTTGAGTTATTAAGTTAAACTCATTCAGACCCAGTGGACTGTCATAAGACCGGGTGAGAGCGTGCTGCGCGCATGGGCTCAGTGACCACTCACAAGCAAGTGAGTTAATGCGAGTTAATGTTCTAGATTAATGCAAAAGTACCACACAGCAGTGACAGCACTGAATCACTGAAACTGACTGGTTGATGATAATAAACCTGAACTTGAATATTTGTATGCTGTATTTAAAGTTTTACCTATAACTGATGACTGAGCCAGGGTAGGAAAATCAGAAAGTATTAGGAGAAAGAAATGATTAACATGGTTTTTGATTTTAGTGCTTTACTTGCACCTTATCCTTTAAGTTACAGTCAGTCCACACAAAGACAGAGCAGTTAAGGCCTTCTCATTCCTTTGGTCCCAGGATCTTTGCCTTAGAGACAGACAACGTTATTTGTAGTGTTGCATTTGGCATAGAACATTGTCCTCCTGCAGATGTAATATTCCACATGTCCCAGAAGGCAAATATTTGCCACTCACGGTTCAATTTCACCAACCATGTATTCCCAGACAGCCTCCGAAATCCAAACTTGTTTACTGATATTCTCTCAGGGCTGCATTTACTAAGCCCTAAGCACCTCGGGTGAGACGAGAAATGAAACATGTATTTTCAAGTGCATAAGCTATATAGTCTTTTACCTGAAAAAAAAAAAGCCTTGGACATTACCTTTACAGTCAGGTATCTGAGATAGAAAGCACTAGAATTTACAACATGCGCTCAAAGAAAAACAAACTAGGTATTTGTTTTCTTCAAATGTTGCCTCCCAGGAGGCCGACACATGCCACGTTAGTTACTAGAAACTCAAACAGGCTCTGTCTTCGTCTGCCACCTCCAAAAGCTTATTAGCGTTTTGTCATAGTTCCCCCGTGCTGCTGCAGGTTATTGAATGCTACCCAATTACTAATGTGCTTAAGTACTTGTTTGTTTCATTACCTGGGAAAAGTTTCTTTGGAATCATAATGTCTCTGGACATAACTTTTGAAGTTGGCATAAAAAAAAAAAACATGATTCTGTTATAGACTGTATATTCCTTTAAAATATATATTCAATATGATGTAGACCTCAGACAGATGGAAATTTGGTCTGTCTTTAGAATGTCAACCTTCTTTTTACTGTTTTGTTTTAGTTTTCAAATTATATATACTGTTGATATAGAGTGTGACATCATGATGAGGTCATTCCTACCACATGACTGCAAAGGACTTTTTGAACCTCAAGTCATGTCTAAGTTCTTCAGTACACAGAGATACCTAAAAAAAACACTTTTGAACAATGCATTATGTCAGTTCAGTTAGTTTTCCATTAATTACAAACATTGTCATGGTAATTAATTACTTTGTAGTATAATTTGTCACACTACAGAATATTATATTAAATATCTCCAGCTGTGTTGCACCATTGCTTCACTGTAGCTGTGTGCAGCTCTCTCTTCTTGGCTTTCGTTCTCTCTCTCTCTCTTTCTCTCTCTCACACCCTCTGTCACAGTATGACCATTGGCAGCAACCTTCATTCATACTAGGGGTTTGTTTGTAACGTATGTGGAATTTAAAAAAAATGTTTTTGAACCGCTGTTGCTTTTTCCTCTCACTTGTACATTGTGTTCATAAAGGTAGAGATTCATTATTTGCACTTATTAATTTCTTATTACATGTAATCGATTACTTTCATTGTGGTTTCTGAAAATAAATAATTTTACCGGTCGTGATACATTAGTTTGTCATGGATCAGTATTTTTCACTAAGTCGTGAGACATGAAGCACAAGAAGTGTTTTCTGTATTTACATTAATCTGAAGTTACAATCTTACCATTGTTAAATGCTTTGTTGAGTAAACCAGTGAGCAAAATCTGCTGGTAAAACTTTTGAAGGCATACTGTAAAACTCCATCAGCAGTCTCAGCAGCATATGGCTGAATGAAAGCAGACAGAAGCCTGACACCTGGTGCTGCCGTCTGCTTTTAAAATGACAAGCCTTCATGTAATGGTCCAGCTTTGGACTGCAGTTTGCCATCCAGCCATTTGAAGACTAATGATTGTGTTTTAGGAGCACTTTGCTGCATAATGAAGATGTATCTCTGTGCCCAGTTGGAGCGGTGTGAACTTCATCAACCTTTCAAATCAGTTAATCCCACCTCAGGAGCTGCACTGAAGAGGAGCCAAAAGAAAGGGAGAGCATCAATCTCCCCCTGCAGAGTGACACACTGAGAAAGAGAATGACAGCTTTATTTCTGCACAGGCGCCAATAAGGCCAGTCAGATGATTGGTGTTCAGACAGAGCCGTCTGGACTGTGCTTTAGTCATAGCAAGATACATAAATGTCATAGTCAGTGCTCAGACAGGTGCTGAGGGGCTTGACGTTGTTACTTTGGGGAGAGTGATAGTATCTGACAATGTGCTTTTTCACCTCCACCACCACTCTCCTCGCCTGCATCCTGGCCATCCAAACACCCCCTTTCATCCCCTCACACGACTAAATCAACTGTGTTTGCTCTGAATCCCAGCACACCTCACATTTCTTCACTGCTCTCCTCCCAGAGGAGCAGGAGAGCCCTCTGTCTGTCATCGTTACCCCCCCCCCTCTCTCTCTCTCTTTCTGGAAGAGCTTTGATGTGCTTCTGAGGTTAATTCTGCCTTCCTCAGAGACTTCATGTATGTGTGAACTCTGCTGCGGCTTCTTGGCTGCAGCTGATCTGGCAAGTTATAGTGCACTGACTGTGAGCAATGGTGGTCTCTGTGGGGTTTTGCTTACAAAGCCTTTACCTAGTCATGCCTTCAACAATGCTATTTTTCATAAGTTGTCTCCCAAACCCGTCCCAAACTCTGTTCTATGTCCCCTACAAATGCACTGATTTAATATAATAC